CCTTATACTACAAAGCTTATGCCACTCAACTGCTCATTAGCGGTCAGCCTTGTGGTGGTCTCAGGGGACAAGAATGTCAGGGCAGATGACAGCCATGTTGACTCGACAGAGGAGGAGAAGACTAATCAAACAACCAGACAGGAGAGAAAAGCAAACCCCAGGCTCAGTGGAGAGCATGCTAAGGTATATATAGATCGGGTGTGCAAATATGGTTTTCAATAGCTGCTCGCTTCTTTTCCAGGAAAAAAGAAAACATCCAATGTTTGGACAAGATTTGAGATGCAGGCCTTGACAACTCTTGTTCCTGCTGAAGTTGCTTAGCAGAAGAGTCTTTATTCAGCTACTCCTTCAATATAGAAGTTCATACAGTTCCTACCAAATTCTTAGTGTCCGGCTGGACCACACAAAGAGGAACTGTTATAGTATCCTCTGGCTATTAAAATCAGTGCTTTTTTTGTAAAAACAAAACAAAAAAAAAAGGTGCCAGGACTCAAACACGTCATACAACCCACCTTGCCTACCCTACAAGGTTCCATCCAAAAAAGGTGCCGGAACTCCATTCTGGGTGTTCTATGACAAAAAAAGCCCTGATTATAATACTATCATTATTATATAACTATAACATTGTGTATGGTAGAAATTGTATTAAAATACAATACAATGCAATATACAATAAATATATGATAATGTGTATAGTAGCATACTAAATAAAGTGATAATTATAGTAATCATATTACAACAGTTATAAAATAATAAAAATAGAAATAATTAACCCAATCTTTTTTTGTTCCAATATATTAAAATGATCTAAAAACTTAACTATCTGCACCGGTAGAAATAACTTTGGTGACACAAATTCTGGACAGTTATTTGTTCCAGAAATATAACTAAGCTTGTCTGAATTGATAAAAATCTTATAATCCACTTTAATAAACATATCAGAATAGGAATAAGAATAGGAATAGGAATAGGAATAGAATAGAATAGAATAGAATAGAATAGAATAGAATAGAATAGAATAGAATAGAATAGAATAGAATAGAATAGAATAGAGAAATGGAATAGAGCAGAGCAGAGCAGAGCAGAGTGGAGTAAAATTCTTTATTGGCCAAGTATGATTGGACACCCAAGGAATTTGTCTTCAGTGCATAAGCTTTGTCACTTTAAATGTACACTAATCAGCATGCATTAAAATGAATTTTTGTTGCATTTAGCTCTCAAAAAAATACCATAATGCTATACTCTACACATATATGACACAGAGAAACATCACAGTCTACTTCAAATGTATACATATACATGGCAAAAAAAGAATACTGCAAATTCACAAGACAGATGACATAAAGAACAAAGCATCAAAGTTTATCTCTTATCTCCACAAAAGGGATTATTATTCATGTTATTTTTACATCAATCTTTTTGCAGTCCAAATCAGGGAGAACTTAAATGTGCTTTGTTCTTCCTTTCTTTTTTTTTCTCTACCCCCCCCTATTTTTTTTCTAGGTGAACTCTGGAGCAACTTGATCTTCGTAAAGTATTGTACCATCTAATCAAGGTTTCAATCAAGGATATGGAAGAAAGTATAGAGAGCAATTTCAGAAACAATTTCTAAGAGTTCATGAAACACTAGGACACATTTTGAAACCTTCCAAAGATGAGCTAGGATGTGGCCTGGGCCTTAATGTTAAGGCTGCTTCTCTAATTCACTGGTGTTAAGAACCTTGATGGGAATTTCCCTTTTCACATCAGTTTCACTACAAGGCTCCTTTGGACTAAAGGCAGCACTCAGCTCTCCATCAGGCTGGGCTTCAGGATATCAATGGCCAATTTCACACACAACAAATTGTACATTACTGAATGCTTGTCAGAAAATTCGGGGGCCCGAAAGCAATTTTGACTCTGTGTCTCATTCTTCCGCAACATTTTTTTTTTAAATTTCACCCAAACCGAGGGGCTGAATTATGTACTACAGTAAACATCTTCGTTAAATGATTTTGTACGGATTTCTTTTTTTTTTTTTTAAAAAAAAGGAAAGATGCCATGCTTTGGATTAAAATGGCAGAAAATAACGGCAGAAAGAGAAGGAGACTTTGAAAAATAATGAGTTCCGAAGAAGCAGCCGTGGAATACTATTGCTGTTGGAGGGAAGGAGAGTAGGAAAGACATGAAGCTTGTTTTGGAAAAGTTTCATCCTGAGAAAGGAATCGGATGCAATGAGAACGTTCCTCCCCCTGCCCACACCTCGCCTGATCACCTCGAAGAAATGAAAATTGCATTTAACAACAACAACAACAAACAAATAAATATGTAGAAGAAAGAATATGTTCTACTGTCATATCTGGCAAATTGTATTGTAGCTATAAAAGGCAGAAAAACTGCTGATCAGAGACGAAAGAAATGAGACTTGGAAATAGTCTCACTGTAATGTTGCATAAAAAGAGAAGGGGAAGGGAAAAGTAAAAGGGAAGGATCAGGGAAAGGGGAAGGGGAAAGGGAAAGGGAAGGGTAGGGGAAGAGGAAGGGATAGGGGAAGAGGAAGGGAAAACGAAAGGGAAGCAAAAGGGAAAGGGAAGGGAAAGGAAGTGATAGGAAAGGGAAGGGGAGGGAAGGGGAGAGTAGAGGAGGGAAGGGGAGGAGAGAAGAGGCTCTGCATAAAAGCAAGGAATGTCACATTTATTTATTTATTGATGAGACTTATATACCGCTTTAAGTGCAAAGCACTCTCTAAGCGGTGTACACCAGTAAGCAATGTATCTATATATATATTTACATTGCCCCCAACAATCTGGGTCCTCATTTTACCTACCCCGGAAGGATGGAAGGCTGAGTCAACCTTGAGCCGGTGAGATTTGAACCGCTGACCTGCTGAACACAGTCAGCTAAAGTGGCCTGCAGTACTGCACTCTAACTATTCCATTCCATTCCATTCCCCATTGCATCTATTCTATTCTGTTCTGTTCTGTTCCGTTCCGTTCCATTCCCCATTGCATCTATTCTGTTCTATTCTATGCTATGCTATTTTATTTATTTATTTATTTATTTATGAGACTTATATACCGCTTTAAGTGCAAAGCACTCTCTAAGCGGTGTACACCAGTAAGCAATGTGTGTGTGTATATATATATATATATATATATATATATATATATATATATATATATATATTTCCATTGCCCCCAACAATCTGGGTCCTCATTTTACCTACCCCGGAAGGATGGAAGGCTGAGTCAACCTTGAGCCGGTGAGATTTGAACCGCTGACCTGCTGAACACAGTCAGCTAAAGTGGCCTGCAGTACTGCACTCTTAACTGCTGCGCCACCTCGGCTCTTTTTTTTTTTTTTTAGTGAACATCCTTTTCAGTTTACCAATGTCCCAAACTAGTTACATTTATATTAACGCCACCCATTCATTCATATCATTGTGGAATTACTTCTCTGGGCAAACGCTCCCTTACTAGGTCCAAACCAGATAGGAGGAAATAAACTACTCTGGGACCATGAAAATAAACTACTCTGGGACCCATTTTCCCATTCCTTTTCCCTCTCTACCAAACTGTCTGGTTTGGTACAGCCACCCAACAGGATAGGTACAGATACCAATGGATAGTAAGTTGCAGAAATTTACTACCTCCCTTAGATACAGCAACAGCAACCATTCCTATAGGCTCAATCTGATTTCGAAAAACGGTACATACTTCTCGTGAACATGTTCGCATTTAAAATTTCCACTGGAAATTGTGGAAATGTCTGCTGGATCTCAATGAGCTGGAAGAAGTGACATAAAGAAGTCCGTCGTACTGTTGCCAAAGGGTCTTGCAGAGTCATTCCCCATCTTGCGTTGCAGCAGTGCTACAGAAGTGAGACTTTTATTTGAATCCTTGGGCAGTTGTTGTTCTTCCAGAGTAACAGAAAAGTCCGTGGGCAATTCCAGTTTCCCATGATGCTTTTGAACGATGTTATATCACATTGTACTTCTTCAAGATGCTATTAGCATCTTTCTAGGACCCACAGGTGTTGCTAATGCTTTACTGAGGTACAGCAAGATCATCCTGATTAAATTTCTCCAAACAGATATACAGTAATGTCATCAATGCTATAGCCAACTTTAGTCCTTATCCCTTTACTACAGTTCTGCACCATTTCCATTGCACAGCTAACCTGGCAGTTGACCCACACACTTGAACATCGCTTTTGAAACTAAGCATGGTTAGCAATCACTTTAGTATCCACACCAATAGTGTTTCCACATAACATGTTCAGACAGACAAGCAAGTCAAAGTTTAAGAAATTCAAAATAAAAAAATCTTCAAAGAGAAAATATGTGTAAAAACTCTTCTGCAAGAGACTGAAAAGTGAAACTATGCGCATGGTAGACAAATATACTGTAGGTTCAAAGAAGTTATCTAGAAAGAGTTTTAGGAAGGGAACAGAGCAGGAAATCCATATGTGACAAAGCAATACATGGAGAAAAACCTAAAGGAATTTTTTTTAAAGAAAATAGACCTGGTTGTCTGTCTATCTGTCCATCCATCCACCCATCCATCTTTCCATCTGTCTACCTATCATCTATCTTCTGTCTGTCTGTCTGTCTGTCTGTCTGTCTGTCTATCTCTCTCTCTCTCTCTCTCTCTCTCTATCTATCTATCTACAGTCATCAATTATGTGGTTTGTCTGCCATTACAGTATTGATAGAACTATTCTCCAGTGTGTCATCGAAATAATCAACAATATTTTTATGTTCAAATTAAAGGATCAATGTTCAAGACATGATAGTTTTTATGTATTTCTCCAGAATCATTTACACTCAATCCAAACACACAAATGTCTAGGTTTTATATATTTCTCTATTTACACATTCTGTTTTAACTGTTTAAAAGATGACACATTTATAGTCATGAGTTCCAGAAATAATTTTAAGAAAACAGTAGCAATGCTCATTAAAAAAAGACCATTTTAAAATAATATATTCCAAATAAATGCTATTAGAATGAGGGACTTACTTTTCTGTCCACTGTTTCTACACAAGAGCTGCACTCCACTTTAGTATCCTGAAGTATTGAAAGAAAAAAAAGGAAGGAAAACAAACAATTGGTAAAATAAAAGGGGGAAAATATCTATAAATAATTTATTTGTTTAATTAGTTATTAGTTCAATTTAAAAATCACCCATCTCCCTCACAGAGGGATTTTGAGCAAGTAAAATATAAAAAAGATAAAAAAATAATCATAACCCCAACTCAAAAACAGAGAATATATTTACTTTAAATTTATTAAATCATTTACTATGGCAACACTCATATTTAAACTTCAAGTAAAATGAATATTTCAGTGTATTAAATATCTAGAAGAATTAAGAAAGTCCCCAAAAGATCAGAAAAACTAAAGTTATCCCAAAAGCAAATCAAACTGAAAAATATAAAGAAACAAAAAATGTTTTAACCCTTTTGATATGTAACTTGGATAAATCTTCCAAATTTCTTCCTAATAGTCATAGATTTGCTTTCCGTGGAGATGTTTAAACAGAAAGTGAATGGCATCTATTGGAGATCCTACAATGGGTGATTCCTACAGTCTCAAATACTGTATTTCCTTTCTATGAGTCTTTCACTTCTCTCTTCATGTATCCATCAACAGGAAATAGAAAACTTTGGCTTCCATTTTTAAAAAATCATGTTTATTCAATATGCCTGAAACTAGGACACTGTGGTTAGCCTTAAATATTGTTCAAACCAGGGTTGCCTAGACATAAATGAATGGGTCTGTTTTCAATGTGAAAACTCACCAGACCAAGGTGTCAAAATAACCCTGAAGCACAATCATTGCACGTTGTGAGACACCATTTAAGGGCATGTTAAGACCTTGTTGGAAATAAAGTGTTGGTTTTATTCTGCTGTTTTTGTCTTTTTTTTTAAAAAAAAAAATATGAATTGATTTGTTCCTAAATTTTAATCGGTCTTAATTTACAGTTGGTACATTGTAATTTATAGTTGATACATTTTATTCCAACAGACTGCTAACCATTTAATAAAGAGGTGGCAAACAAGAACACACACACACACACACACACACACACATGCACACAAATCTCCAAAGGGTGGGAAAACCTCACTTTTGACAAGGTGGATCCTTCATGCTCTCTAAGCTTGGTTCTTTTCTTGCAGGAAATATTACCCAACTAGTAACATCACCAATGCTAAAAATGCTAGCCCCTTCTAGAATTGATGATGTTACCTAGTTGGGTAAAGAAACATCTGTAAGAAAACAATGAAGCTCAGAGAATACCAAAGACCCCCACAGTTCAACCCTGAACTAGACTAGACTAGACTAGACTAGACTAGACTAGACTAGACTAGACTAGACTAGACTAGACTAGAATAGAATAGAATAGAATAGAATAGAATAGGAATAGATGAGGATGGTGATGGGAATAAACTAGTCTAGTCTAGTCTAATCTAGTCTAGTCTCATCTAGAATAGAATAGAATAGAATAGAATAGAATAGAATAGAATAGAATAGAATAGAATAGAATAGAACAGAACCTTGGAGGTCTTCTAATCCAGCCCCCTGCACAAACAGGAGAACCTATACCATCTCAGACAGGTGATTGTCTAGTTTCTTCTTAAAAATCTCCAGTGATAGAGCACCCACGATTTCTGGGGGCAAGCTGTTCCACTGGTTGATTGTCCTCACCGTCAGGAAGTTTCTCCTTCGACAAATATCCTCTTCTATTGATCACTTTTCTTTACTTTTTTCTTTTTCTTTTTAGTCTGTATTATTGTTTGTCTTGTTAAGTTATATTGTGTTTTTATTGTTAGCCGCCCGGAGTCCTGCGGGAGTGGGGCGGCCTATACATTTTAATAAATAAATAAATAATAAATAAATTATATTTTGCAATTATAATTAAAATTCCTAAAACAGTTATTTTAAGAAGAGGGAGAGAGAATTGCTGATCGAGAATAAGATGCATTTATCCTTTCAAAGGATAGTGGGGGGGGGGAGGGAAATAGGATTAAAAAAACCCCCTGCAGATGTTGAATGCAAAGAGTTTAGCGAACTTCCTGAGCAATGATCAATGTGGAACACAGAACGTACCAGGCGGGTTGCAACAGCTCTATTGCTGAAGCCCTTTAGACAGAAAAGTGGCCCTTTCTTTCCATGTAACAGGGAGCGATGAGCTGATCAATGAACACTGATATCATTTCATTTCCCTCAGCTGCCACAGAGCTCAAAAAAAGAGGGCCATCTGGTTTACCAGAAACACCTGCCATCTTTGCAGCCTAATTCAATATGCTCATGTCGGAGTTAATTTGCTGAACATTCATTGCTATTCTTTGGAGTTGCTTCCCCCGGTCTCCAGAGAGAGGGGTCACACCCCTTCCAGCAGGGCAGACATTTTTCCTGCAAAAGGAGATTGCAGACTTCTGGGCACAGGAGATGCAGAACATGTGGATGTTATCCAAGAAGGAAGAAAAACGAAAATGTAACGGACATTTTCTGAAGGTGCCCTACCCCTGGTTTAGGGATCCTATCTTACCTTATCCAGACTACAAAGGATTGAGTCTGGAGTAGGTACAGTTGGAACTGAATTTCTGTTGCTAAGCCTGGTGATCATTAGGTGAATCCTGTATGATTTTGTGACTTTTTATTACCCTGGTCATTGAATCACATGATTGTAAATAGAATCCAGCTTCCAACCAATTGAGGTTGGAAATCTGGGATCACATCATGTTTTCAACACTGACATTTTTATTTTTGCTGGTGCCATACTTGATATTATTCTAATTGTCCCCAGTCAGTATATTATTCATGTAACATAGTTCTCACTACTACTGGCAGATATTTTTTTTTGGAAAAAGGTTAAAAAAAGATATTGACGTCTTTAAACTGTACTACATATAAAGCCAATTAATTAATAAGCAGGAAATCCATATTTAATGAAGGCTTCTTTCAAAACTTTCCACTGCAACTTATCAAAGGCCTTCATTAAATTCAGAAAAATCATTAGCATCGCTGCTGGCTTTGATTTTGCTCTAAAAGTAACATCCAAAATGTCGGCTGGTTATTTAACGTGATCAGATGGCTTCCTATAAAATGAGTTTATGTAGGACGGATAATCAAAAGAAGTATCATCAACAGCGTTATTTAGCCCCAGGGGGGAAGCGGTGTTAAACACTGTAGGATGGAGACTATCTAAAATCTGTAGGATGTGGAGGCTATCTATCCCTTTATATGTGTGTCTAATCTGATAGCATAAATTACAAAAGGATCTGCAAGCTCTAATAATAAAAATCAAGGAGCACAGTGCAAGGAAATAGGAGTAAAATTAAAATTAAGAAGATCTAATAGCAACCGATAGACCAGCCAGATTCAGAATGGGCTATGAGGATATCAAATTGGCAAAGAGCTGCCTTTTAGGGTCAACCATCAACAGCAAAGAAACAAGAAGTCAAGAAAAATATTGCAACTAGGACTTGGTAGAGCAGCCATGAAGATCTTGGAAAAAATATTCAAATGCTATGATATCCATATATACCTACAGAGGAAAATGGAAGCTATGGTACTTCTTGAATGCCCTTTAGAAGTGAGAGTTGGCATATGAAAAGAGTAAGACAGAAAAGAATGTTGATCTGTTAAACTTAAGTGTTGGAGAAGATTCTTGAGAATATTGTGGAAAACCCAGAAAACAAATAAAGGGATCAAAAGTTCTCCCTCAAGGCACAAATGACCAGACTCAAATTACTATTTTGGACATGGGATGCAAAGAGAAGTTATGAAATGATTCGGAGGAAGAGTAAAGTTGGGAAAGACAGAAGGAAAGACAAAAAGGGGATGATTATTCACACCATGGATGGCCTTGATTAGAGCAGCACTCTTGGAATAGCAGAAGGACCAGATTAGGGACAGATCGTCATGAAGAAAAACTATTTATGGGTTTGCTAAGACTCAACAATGAGTTGACAGCACAAGATCAGTTTGATGTCAGGCTCTATAAACCAAGAAAGACACACTGAGATTCTTCTAAGCTGTTTTCTTTATTGTTCCTCACCTATAGACTGAAACATAAAACATAACACTTATAGACTGGACATAAACTCCTTTCTTTGGGATGCTGCTATACGGCATTGTAGGCCAAGACAACTAGACACAATGTCAGTTTTTCCCCCCTTGGGCCATCAGTCTGCTGAACCCCTAACTCTCACAGTGCTGTCTAGTGTCTATGTGTATTTACCCATGTAGTATGGCTGTAGCTGTCAACGCTGCAAATATTGTATATTCTTGCTTTTGACAATATGCAGAATTGTTTGGTAATTATGGGGTTAATACAGAGCAGAAGGGGGGTTGGGGGTAAAGCCCGGGAAAGAAAGAGGAAGAAAACATTTGACCTTCACACTAATTGGATAATGTGAGATATGACAGCTAATTTAGGGAGGGAATATGCTAATAATTTAACTGCTCAGAGGAAGAGAACTTAGATCCTAGCATCATTCCATTGTGCCTGTGCCGACATTTTGTAACAATAAAAGACTTTTAGGAAAATAAATGCCTGGAAGTTCTTTGGAATGTTTCATTAGCCGGAACCACAACAGTAGCATTATTATTTATCCTTATTATCTTTCTTATTCACGCCTTGTATTGGTATTATTATGATGATGAGTGTCGTTATTCTGTTGCTTTGCATATACACTGAGAGCTTCTGCATAGGAGACAAATTCCTTATTGGAATTTATTGGCCAAAAAAAGTATTCAATTCAATTTAAATCTTGCCAAGCTAACAAAAACTATTTTTATCATTAAATATAAATGTGAATCGTCCAGTTGGCAGATCCAGAAAAAGAAACTCTTGAGATATTATTTTAGCAAGAGTATAAATTTTACTGATAAACTATATTGGCACAGACAAAGCAAAACCAGCTCTGGGTTTCCCACACAAATGCAAGCGTAGTTAATTCGCCCCCTTTCCCTATGGGGCCACCCACAGTCCATTACGTCCACCAATCACTTCTGTTCATTTTGTTACGGGAACCAGCGGGCCACGCTAGTCCACCTGC